CTCCTCCTCCTCGGGGAGGCCTTCATAGTAGTCTTCCTCCTCTGAGGTATTGTTCACTTAGTTGGAGTTGGAGTCCCCATCAGGGCTGTGGTTTTGGCACTCCTGCTCCTCAGGCATGGGGCTCTCTGAGTAGCCAGGACTCTCCAGGGTGGCCAGTTCCAGGCTCTTGGGCACACAGTCCTCTAAAGACAGCTCCACTTCTTTGCTCCTGGCCGTGGGGGACAGGGCCTGACCTCGCCCTGGGGTCCAACACGCCACTCCTCGCACTCTCACGCTTCCAGTGGGCCATGGCAGGCACTCGTAGCCATCATCTCCTGGAGGCAGCCACTGTGGGAGGAACATTGATTGGAAAGGACAGAGTCAGAACCTCACAAAGCCCGGCCACGCACGAGGCCACTCCACCGCCACAGCGCCTCCGACCACGTTCTTCCACAGCAATGGGAATTTACAGATGAAGATTTTCACTGCAGCAATCTTTTAAAAAACTGAAAATGACCTAAGTACCCGTAAATAAAAGAATGGTTAAATAAATGACGGCAGAGTTTGCATGCTGCAAGAGTTGATGGTGTTTTTAAAGAGCCAGGGCAACGTGCACTACAGTGAGGGATCTTAAGGGCCTGTTTTGGAGAGAAAATGTTAAGTAAGCACACGTGTGTATATCCCAGTTTCGGCTCCGTCAAGATGGCTAGAGAATACACACACACTCCCCAGCCCATACACAGATGCAAAGGCACACAGAAACGGGGAGCCCCCAAAGGTCTGTCAGCCATGTCCTCTGGGGAGGGGAGGAAAGAGGTGGGAGCAGAGGGGGCTTGCACATTTTACTTTGTTAAAGATGTTTGTACTGGTTGAGTCTTTTACCAAATCGCATTTTATTATTCACCAGCATCATAACCAAACCCACCTGTGCACCTTTGAGGGTCTCCTCTTCTAGCTGGGGAGATGTCAGCACTGAGACAAAACAACCCGTGGGGAAGGGCAGATACTGAGGGGAGGAAGCGGGACTTCCCACACCAGCCACTGCTCTGGGCGTCTTGAGAGGTGGCAAACAGGCCAGTCTCCTCCAGGAAGGCAGCCACAAGGGGAGAGGGGCCAGCCTCCCAGGTGATCAGGACATGAGCACGCCCCAGGGCACAGCCAGAGACACCAGAAATACAGGAGGCAGTGCTGACCCAAGGGAGTGTGGGACCAGGGGATGTGCCAGCCAGGATAGCTGTGGTCTTGCAGATGAGCAGTATAAATTTTGGGAAAACTAAATCATTCCATTTCATTCAATGAGTAGCTTGTGTGGTGGGGGCTGTGTGGTGTGTGCATGAAATACAGTGTGTGTGGTGTGGTGGGTAGGGAGTGTGGAGTGTGTGGTGTGTGTGTGTGTGTGTGTGTGTGTGTGTGGTGGGGCGTACTTGAGGGTGTGGTGAGTGTGTGCACTGTACTGTATATGGTGTATGGTGTGTGGTGTCTGTGATGTGTCTGTGGTATGTGTGGAGTGTGATGTAGTGTGGAAGGGTTGAGTGTGTATGTTTTGTGTGCATGGTGTAGTGTGTGTGGTGTGTATGGGGTGTGTTGATGTAGTGTGGAAGGGTTGAGTGTGTATGTTTTGTGTGCATGGCGTAGTGTATGTGGTGTGTATGGGGCGTGTGTGGTGTGTAAGAGATGTGTGTAGTGTATGCATGTATGATATTGTGTGGTGTGTGTGGTATCTGTGTAGTGTGAGTAAGTTGTCTGTGTGGAAGGTAATGTGTTGTATGGGTGATGTAATACATATGTGGAGTGTGTTGTGCTGTGTGTGTGGTATTTATGAAGCATGTGAGGTGTGTGGCATGTATGGGGTGTGTGGGTGTATACAAAATGTATATGGTGTGTATGTATGGTATTATGTGGTGTGTGTGGTATGTGTGGTGTGTGTGTATGAGGTGTGGTGTGTAGGGAGTATGTGTGTGGTGTGTAGTATGTGTGGAGAGTGCATGGTGTATATGAAGTATGTATTTGGTATATGTGTGGTGTACATGGGTTAAATGTGTGGTGTGTGTGAGGTGGGCATGGTGTATATGTGGTTTGTGGTGTGTGAGATGGGTATGATATGTGTGTTGTGTGTGGTGTGTATGGGGTATGTGTGTGGTGTGTGTGATGCACATGAGTTAAGTGTGTGGTGTGTCTGAGGTGGGCATGGCATATATGTGGTGTGTGATATGTGACGTGGGTATGATATGTGTGCAGTGCATCTGGGGTGTGTGTGGTGTATGTGAGGTAGGTATGATATGTATGCGCTGTGTGTGTGGTGTAGATGGGTTAAGTGTGCCTGGTGTGTGAGGTGGGTATGATATGTATGTTGTGTGTGGTGTGTATGGGATACGTGTGTGGTGTATGTGAGGTGGGCATGGCATGTGTGTAGTGTGAGGTGGGTATGATATGTGTGTTGTGTGTGGTGTGTACGGGGTATGTGTGTGGTGTGTGTGAGGTGGGCATGGTATGTGTGTGGTGTGTGTGTGTGCTGCATACGGGTTAAGTGTGTGGAGTGTGTGAGCTGGGCATGGTATATATGTAGTGTGTGGTGTGTAAAGTGGGTAGATATGTTTGTTGTGTGTGGTGTGTATGGGGTGTGTGTGGTGTGTGTAAGGTGGGCATGGCATATGTGTAGTGTGAGGTGGGTAGATATGTTTGTTGTGTGTGGTGTGTATGGGTTAAGTGTGTGGAGTGTGTGAGCTGGGCATGGTATATATATAGTGTGTGGTGTGTGAGGTGGGCAGATATGTTTGTTGTGTGTGGTGTGTATGGGGTATGTGTGTGGTGTGAGGTGGGCATGGTATGTGTGTGGTGCGTGTACATATGCACGCACATGCATATCTGTGCACTGCAGATGACAGGCAGGCAGGCAGCCCCAGGACACGCAGCGGTGACCAGCTCAGCCAAGGCAGAGCTCTGCGGGGGAGTGGCCAGGCACCTGGCAGCTCAGGATCTTGGATGCACTAAGAGCCTAGAAAGACAGAACCAGCTGTGTCACCATCTCCACCCAAGTTCATCACTAACATGAACCTATAAGCTGCACTGAAACTCTTCCACTTCTGATTAGAACCAAAAACACTCCAGATAGGCTCAGCACAGCCAAGGTTGGGGAAACTGTCCTCAATGTTCTCCTTCACTATCTGCAGCCAGATCTACCACCAGCAGCCTTGCCAGACAGTGCCTGCCTTGGGAAAGGGGCCCGGCACAGGGGCAAGCCCCCACCATGCCCCCAACCCCGCGCCTGCAGCCCAGGGGCAACAGGGCGTAGGATCTTTAATTGAGAAGTTTTTCCCTCTGGGCCTTATTATAAAGGGAAAAGAGAAGGGGGCGACGATCCCTGCTTGGGTTCTCCAGGGACTGCGAACCCAGAGAGGACCCCAACCCAGCTGCCGCCCGGCATTGGGACTTGATGCCAGCGCCAAGCAAGGACGGGGGAACGCACCAGCGGCCCGCCCAGCTCAGCAGCAGGACCCCAGTGCCCCTCCACCCCCAGACAGCGCCTTTAGCCGGCGCCGGGTGGCCATCGGTAGCGAGCCCCCACCCCCACGCCCACCCAACCCGGGGATGCGAGAGCTGCCGCCTAGTACCCTCTGCGCCCATCCACCGGTCGTGGGAGAGGGAAGTGGCCGGCAGGAGAGAAGTTGGGCCGCTGGGCTAAAACCCAGATCCCAGCAACTGCCTCCCCGCAGCCCAGCCGAGTCCACAGGGCAGCGCTCGGGAGCACTGGGGCCGCAACCTCCGGCCGGCCGTCCCCCGCACATCCGGGTCCCTGCAGCGCCGCGGGAGGCCCCAGGTTGCCACCGCCGGTAAGTCAGGCAGCCCGGACCCCCCAGCTTACCTGGCCAGGGCGCCGGGTTGCTTCAGCGTGCTGTGGTCACCGCCCCGCCCCGCCGCCGCCCGCTGGGTCCGCGAAGCCGAGCTCCTCAGCGAGCCCGCGCCCAGCCGCACACACACAACCCGGCGCCTGCAGCCCAGGGGCAACAGAGGGTGGGATTTTTAATTTAGAAATGTTTCTCTCTGGGCCTTACTACAAAGGGAAAGAGAAGTGGGACAAGATCCAGGCTCGGGTTGTCCGGCCAAGGAACGCACCAGCGGCCCGGCCAGCCTGGTGGGACCCAAGCGGGCGCCCTCGCTCCCCGACCACTGCCCCCCCCCCCCACCCCCACCAGAAAGCGCCTGTAGCCGCCGCCAAGTGGCCCGTAGCTGCGGTGCCACCCCGCGCGGGATGCGGCAGCCGCCGCCTTGTCCCCGCTGCACCCGCCTGCGGGTCGTGGGAAGAGGAAGTGGCCATAGGAGAGGAGAGGGGCCTCCGGGCTGCACCCCCAGATCCCAGCAACAGCCGTCCCGCAACCCCGCGGAGTCCAGAGGGCAGTGCTCGGAGCACTCGGGCAGCCACCTATGCGCCTCCCCCGACTCGTCCTGGTCCCTGAGGCGCCCTGCGAGGTCGCAGGCTGCCACCGGCGAGTTGGGCAGCCCGGGTCCCGCAGCTTACCTGGCCAGGGCGCTGGGCTGCTCCAGCGCGCTCCCGTCCTACCCGAGTCGCCGCCCGCTCGGTCCGCGAAGCCGAGCTCCTCAGCGAGCCCGCGCCGAGCCGCGCACACGTTCTGCGGCAGAGTAGCCGCCGGGCGCGACCCGGAAACAGCAGACGGCAAGCGCGCAGGGCCACCTTTACCGGGCCCACGCACACTCACCTGAGACAGGCACCCCCAATCGCTCCCTTCGCTTCACCCTCTCTTGGGTTTCTGGGGCGGAAAAGCTTCCCGGCCACACGGCGTGGCGGGAAGAGACGGAACACAAAGATGCGTCGGAGCCGGGCGTGCACAAGGCCCTGACCCCCCTGACCCTGCTGGGACAATAGGCAGGGCGGGCGGGTGCACCTGGAACCGGGGCGCCGGGCTGGCCTCCCGGACTGGTGCTGGAGCTGGAGCTGGGGCTGGAGCTCAGACGGGTGGAAGGCACGGCGCCCCCGAACGCCTCGGGGCCTGGGGAGCACCCAGATTCCCGAGGCACGTCCTGGCCCTGCTGGCTGGGGAGCTGCAGGGGTCTGGTTGCGCGGGTAGAACCCTTGAACACTAGACTCCCACCGAGCCACCGCCGCCTCACTGCGCCCTACTCACTCGACCCCCCCACCACCGCAATTGTAGGAGGCGACCCTAGAGCAAGGAACCCTCGGGGATCGCGGCCTCAGAAAACCCCATCCGGCAGGAGAGGCCCCCTGCTGCCTCCCCACTGCAGCTCCCCTAGGCGCATGCAAAACTCTTAAGTATTCCCTACCGGTCCTCTCTAACCACCCCAGCACCCCGCTTCCGATACTCTGTGCTGCTTTAGCCCCCAACCCTAGGACCTCACTCCAGGCCATTCTCTCCTTGCTGTCCTAAATGGAAAGGACCTTGACCTCCGCGGGGCCCTGGGGAGCACACACACACACATCCCCAGGGGAGCCAGTCTTCTGCCCCCACAGCACCAGGGATTCCCTGGGGGCCCTGGAAGGTGGTGCTGGAGACTCCGGTGTCAGCTTCGGCCCTCTGGCCCTTTTGTGGAATCCCAGGTAGATGTGGTAAGCCCTGGGAGACGCACAGGGTGCCTTGTCTGGGCAGATCGGGGGCTCAGGTGCCTCCTTACCTGAGTGATTTGCCCTCTTTTCTCCTTGTGGCCGGATTAGGTGAATCTGTGTCCGAAGTAGGGGGTAAAGAAGGACAGGGGACCTAGGGGGTGAAGAGAGCCCATCTGCCTGCCACCTTGAGGGCCTGAGCTGAGACCCTGAGAAGAAGGGGCTGAGGCAAGCCAAATCCTGAGCTGCACTATGGTTAGATACAGTGTGGACTTGGCCTCTCCACACTCTGCCTCCACCAAACACTCACAAATCCCCAGGGCCACAGCTGCCAGTGGGGGCTGCTCCTGGTAGAGCAGCTTTGTAGCCACAGGGCCAAAGGGGCAAAGGCAGAGCTGGGGCAGGCCAGCGAAGTTCGTGACCCCTCCCTGCTCAGGTGAGCATACCTTCACTGCTTACTTTCCACCTTACTTTCCATTCTGCTTACCTGGCCAAAACAAAGTTCATCCAGCTTCCTGTGGCCCAGCCTTTCTCCAATGCCAATGGTGGGAAGCAACAATTACTAGGTAATGATTCCAAGAAGATAAATTCTGCCATCTTCTTTGCCTGACCGTTATGTGGTCACATCCCGTAGGAAACCAGACAGCTGTGACTGAAGCTGATCCACACAACCCCCCCACCTCCTCAAACCCCCACTCCCATCTGTGTGAACGTGTGGGGTCGGGCAAGTTGCACGCTGTTCCTTCAACAACCTCTCTTGAGATCTTCCTGTGGGCAGGCTCTGGGCCAGTCACTGGAAATTAAACCCCATCCCAGCACCCGGGAGTGAGTGGCTGATGTCCATAGTCCACAGGATGACAGGTACAGGCTTAGGGCCAGGAACAGCGGCTCCCAACTGTAATCCCTCCCAATGCTTTGGAAGCTGAAGCAGAAGGCTCACTTGAGCCCAGCAGTTCAAGTCTGTAGTGAGCTATGATCATGCCACTTGCAATCCTGCCTTGGTGACAGAACAAGACCCTATCTCTTTAAAAAATGAAATAAATTAAATACATTTAAAAATAAAGGTACAGGCCTGCCCCCAGCCTCACTCAGGCCCCAAATCTGGTGGGCTTGAGCCAACTGCCAGTATTCAGAGAATTTTTAAAGAATCGTTAGGACAAATAGCTAATGCATGCCGGACTTAAAACCTAGATGACAGGTTGATAGGTGCAGCAATCCACCATACACGTATCCCCCATGTAACAAACCTACACATTCTATACTTGTATCCAGGAACTTAAAGTAAAATTTTAAATAAAAAAGGATCAGACTGGGCGAGATGGCTCATGCCTATAATCCCTGCACTTTGCAAGGCCGAGGCAGGCAGATCACAAGATCAGGAATTCTAGACCAACCTGGCCAACATGGCGAAACACCGTCTCTACTAAAATACAAAAATTAGTTGTGCGTGGTGGCAGGTGCCTGTAATCCCAGCTACTCAGGAGCTGAGGAAGGAGAACTGCTTGAACTCGGGAGGCAGAGGTTGTAGTGAGCTGGGTTGGCACCACTGCACTCCGACCTGGGCAGCAGAGTGAGACTCAACCTTGGGAAAAAAAAAAAAAAAAAAAGAGCGAGGGGATGCAAGAGAGTTGCTTCCTGTCTTTCTTGCTCTCTGCCATGTGAGGATACAAGAAGGTGGCCCTCTGTGAACCAGAAGGTGGGCCCTCCCCAAGAACCAACCATGCCAACAGACTGATCTTGGACATCTAGCCTCCAGAACTGGGAGAAATCAGTGTTTGTTGTTTAAGCCACCCAGTCTATGGCATTTTGTTAGAGCAGCCCAAACTAAGACACTGCCCCAATCATAATGATATCCCCCTACGTTTTCATCTAAATGCTTTCAAAGTTTTTGTTGTTGTTGTTTTGCTTTTTTTTTTTTTTTACTTGGTTTTTTTGAGACAGCATCACTCTCTGTCACCCAGGCTGCAGTGCAGTGGCACAATCTTGGCACACTGCAACCTCTGCTCACGGGTTCAAGAGATTCTTCCGCCTAGCCCTCCCAAGTAGCTATGACTATAGGCACGCACCAACACGCCTGGCAAATTTTTTATTTTTAGTAGAGGTGGGGTTTCACCATATCGGCCAGGCTGGTCTCAACTCCTGACCACGTGATCCGCCTGCCTTGGCCTCCCAAAGTGCTGGGATTACAGGCGTGAGCCACCGCGCCCAGCCCACTTTCAAAGTTTTGCCTTTCACAACTAGATCTTTAATCAACTCGCTTTTATTTTTGATATGATGTGAACAATCTAGTTGTATTTACTTTGCATATGGATAATCAATTGTGCAAACACCATCTGTAGAATATTCCTTTCCCCAATAATCTACGAGGCACCTTCTGTCTCATTTGAAGTTTCCATGTGTCATGGGTCTTTTGCTGGGTTCCTCTTCTCTTCCAGTGGCTGATTTGTGCATCCCCTGAACACTTCACTGTCCTAATTCCTTTGCCATCATAGTATGCACACAAACTTTCCATTACCCACCGACCTCTAAGCCATTCTTATTCTTTGAAAATATCTTCATTTAAGTTCTGCTAGAAGCAAAGCCTGGGTAAAGGATCCAGGTACAAGCATTTGTTAAGAAGGTGCTTTCAAGAAGCACAGGTGAGAGGGTGGGAAGTGAGATAGGAAGGGAAGAAAGCCAACAGATGGTGCATTTATAAGCAGGTTGCCACAAAGGGTAACTGGGGCTCAATCTCACTAGGCCCTTCAAAGATACCGCAGCTGAGGAGAGGGGAAGCTGCCATATTTATCCACCAACTCCCATTCCTCATGGATGTTTTAAAATGGACACAAGATTTACTTTAATCAGATATACTAAGACACGCAGATATGGAAATGACTGTCCCGAAGGAAGGAGTTTTTCATACTCAGAGGGCCCTAGAAACAAGTGCCATGGCATGCTATGCAGGGATACGCGGGGAGGCACCAGGGTCAGTCAAGAAGTCAGAGGAGCTAGGGGAAAACATGGGCAAGAGCTTTATTTGTGGCATCCAACGGAAAGGCAAGGCAAGGCAGGGTAAGCAGGCACAGGATTAGCTATGAATAGTTTGAATAATTTCGCTTGGCTTTGGGGCATAGGGCTGTCCCTAGTTGTCTGGTTCATGGCCCTGGGGTGATGAAGGCAGATGGACAGCGGCCCAGTGTAAGAGCCTGATGAAGGAGGTGGTTGGGGGTATAGGCTTTGGACTGGCTGGTTTGCAGATGGAAGGTGCACTTGCAGGTGAGTCCTTTACTATCTCTAGGAACTGGCTCACCCTGGGTGGATCAGCAAGGCCCCAGCTGTCAAAACATCAGGAAATACAGGAAATGAAAAGGCATGATGAATACACTGAGGGTGCTCTCAAAGGCATTAGCTCCTGGCATCACGTATGTGGCAGGCAATGCCGAGGGCCATGTGGACAGCACGAACAGTGTCTGCTGCACTATTTTTTTTTTTTTTTTTGAGATAAAGTCTTGCTCTGTCACCCAGGCTATAGTGCATTGGCAGGATCTCGGCTCACGGTATCCTCTACCATCTGGGTTCAAGCGATTCTCCTGCCTCAGCCTCCTGAGTAGGTTGGACTACAGGCGTGCGCCACCACGCTTGGCCAATTTTTTTGTATTTTAGTAGAGACAAGTTTTCACCATGTTGGCCAGGATGGTCTCCATCTCCTCACCCATGATCCACCCATTCTCAGCCTCCCAAAGTGCTTGGATTATAGGTGTGCTGAGCCACCGTGCCAGGCTCACCACCCCCTTCACCTCCTGGGTTTGAGCAATTCTCCTGCCTCAGCCTTTCAGGTAGCAGGGACTACAGGCACACGCCACCACGCCCAGCTAATTTTTGTATTTTTTGTAGAGATGGGATTTCACCACGTTGGCCAGGCAGGTCTCGAACTGTTGACCTCAGGTGATGGCCCACCTCAGCCTCCCAAAGTGCTGGTATTACAGGTGTGAGCCACCACACCCAGCCAGCTACACTATTTTTTGGCCCCTCAATGACTTCATGAATTTTCAGATCAGCCTGTCAAGTTCCAAAACAACTCTATTGGGATTTGTCTGGGAATTGCTTGAATTTATAGGTTAATTCAGTGAGAAGTAATATGTTTATGGCATTGAGTCTTACCATTCATAATATATATGGAATATATTTCCATTCTTCCTTTACATCTATGGGTAATTTTTATATTTGTCTTAGTCTTTTTGTAATGCAAAACACCTGAGATGGGGTAATTTACAAACAACAGAAGTTATTCTCTCAGTTCTGGAGGTTGGGAAGCAGAGATCAAGGCTTCAGCAAGTACAGTGTCTAGTGAGGGCCTGGTCTCTGCTTCCAAGATGGTGCGTTGAATGCTGGTTCCTCTGAAGCAGACAAATGCTATGTTCTCATGAGGCAGAAGGAACAGATTTGCCACCACCTCAAGCCCTTTATAAGGTGCTAATCTCATGCATGAGGGCTCACCCTAATGACTTACTCACTTCTGAAAAGCCCCACGTCTTAATACTATCATCCTGGCGATTAAGTTTTAACAGGAATTTGGGGAGACACATTCCGGCTATAGCAATACTCTTCATGAAAGGTCTGTGTACATTTTGCTAGATATATTCTCAGGGTTTTGTTGCTATTGTGAATAGAATCTCTTTTTCTATTACATTTTCTTTTTTTTTTTCCCCATTTATTTATTTTATTGCATTTTACATTTTGGGGTACATGTGAAGAACATGCAAAATTGTTGCATAGGAACACACATGGCAGTGTGATTTGCTGCCTTCCTCCCCATCACCTACATCTGGCAT